AGACATTTGCATACATAGTGAGGAAGTGTGTAGGTAAATTACATGTTTGGAGGATACAACTGTACATGCATATATACATCCATGCGCACCTACACATACATATACACACACATATGGAAATGTAAATATATCTACCTGTCTTTGATCACATCTTCAAATTTCCTAAATGTTCACACAATTTTAATTTCCTTAGGTAGGCACTCTTTAGTTCACTCCACAATCACATGGGCCTTTTTCACATATTTGTAACTTCTTCAGTCCTGGTTGGAACAGTGGTATAACAGTATTTACTTTGACTGTCAATGGATGCCATTCTAGCAAGTACTTAACTGTTCGTACCTTTCCAGTCTTTATACATTATTCCCTTTATATACCCTATGGTGCAGCCAAACTTACTGTCCCTCACACATGTCATGACAGCTCAGTGCCTCATCTTTGCCTCTCAGAATCCCTGGTTTCCTTCAAATCTCTGCTAAAACATTGCTATCTAAATGAGGTTTTTCCTGATGTGCCCCCAATTAACTTATACTTTTGAATATGTGCTAATGAATTGTAAACTACATTGTGAGAGCAGGGACTGTTTTATTTTTGTTTCTGAGCTGCATCTTAAAGGAAGGGGAAGGATTGTGAGACAAAGGTCAGGTTGGAGAGCATGCCCACACCTGTGAGACTGCCTGCCAGTGCCAAGACATGGAGATGGCCAAAGTTAAGAGCAGGTTGTGGGCTGGGTCACTGAGGGAGGGAAGGAAGCTGTAAGGAGAGCTCCAAGCCAGGCTGCAAAACAGAAAGGTTTATAGTTTGTCCTAAAGGCACTAGGGAGCCCAGTGTGCTTGATTGAGAAGGAATGACCCAGTCAGATCTGCACTTACAGAAAATCACTTTGGTAGGTGGGTGTGGATTAACTGGAGTGAGGAGAGACTTGAGAGGTGAACAGTGAGAGGTTGATTTTTTTATTCATTTTTTTAAAAATTTCTGAATACTTCAAATAGCCATATTTTCATCTACCATCAGCACTAGTGACTGATGTTCCACACTTTCTTTATGACTTTTGTCTGCCTCCTCCTGTAAAACTCCTGTTAAAAAAAAAAACAAAAACTCTTCTGTAATTAAAAAAAAAAGTAGAGGATCCTAGGCAATGCAGTGGAGATCTTCCTCTGTCCCTTTTCTCACTACCAGAGCGGTCTATCTCCCTTTCCAATCAGACACTTTCTGGATGAAAAATTTTATATTATTTGTGTGACTATGTCATCATTGCTAATGTGTCGGCCTCCTTACACTCAGCAAGCGTTTTTCTGTTGTCCTTTGGGTCCTCTGAACTCAAGTTCTTTGAGGATTGTTGGGATTTGAGTCTTAATGGGTTAGGGTAGGCCATGGCAGTTCATTCCATCAGGTTCAACAAATATTGAGTCCCTACAAATACAAGACAGTGTGCTAAGGTCTGAGTGGAATCTAAACTTATTATTTCATAGGAAGCGATACAGATGCATATGGGTGTGTTGCGTAATGTCTCAGCCAATGAAGTTTTTGCCAAGATGACATTAATAGAATCATTATAATTAAATAGTTAATCTCCACTATAATATTCAACCAATTACTCCTTTAGGAAATTCTAACATATATAATATCTATCCACCTATGCAGGCTCAAAAGCGGGCATGGCCCAGGCTATCTCCTCCACTTGTGCCTTCCAGGCTGTCTGCCCCATCTATTATCCCATCTCTCACTATCGCCAGTCTCCTGCCTACAAACTTATTCAGGTTTTCCATATCCTAAAACTTTTCCTTTACTTCAGGTATTTTCCGTTAGTTCTTCTCTCTTTTACTGCTAAATTTGAAGGAAAAGTAGTGTATACTGATTGCTTCTTTTTGCTGTCCACCTGACACCAACTGGTTCCTGAAGCTCCAGCAATTTGGCTTCCATCCTGACGACCATGGTAAGTGTTCTTACCAAGGTCACCAGTGATCCTTTTCAGGCCCAGCGTGATATCCTTTTTTCACTTTCCTTGTAGTATCTGCTCTTTCCTTCCTTGATAACTCCATTTCCATCACCACTGGCAGCTGTGGTATGAACAATAAATTAAAGTCATTTGCTCTCTCTTCCTTTTCTCCTGTCACTCAGGTGCTACAGTCTCCTCCTTCACCTCTGTCTTACACAAAGAGATGACCCTTCTCCTGGCCAAGGTCAACCCCTCCTCCCCATTTCCTCCAGCAGACTGCCCCCGCTGTCATTCTCATTCTCTCACTCATCTTCAGTCTCCTCCTGTCTCCTGACTTCTCCTCTGCTGCCTAGAAGTGTGCCAGTGGCTTTGCCATCCTTGCCCGCTGTTCTCACATCTCTCTTGCTGGCGTCAGCAGTTGGCGCTGCTTTCTTTTCCTCTCACTCTCTTCTTCATTCTTCCCAGTCTGACTTTTGGCGTCGTCATTCAACTGAAAGTACTTTCTCTGAAGTTACTCTAATTGCCAAATCCAATGGCCTTTTCTCAGTCCTCATCCTTTTAGACCTCTCTGCCACCTTTGGCACTGTCAGTCACCCTCTTCTCCCTGATACTCTCTGGATTTCTGTGACACTCTTCTCTCCTGGTTCTTCTCAGTCTCCGTGGAATTTTATCCAGGTCACATCAGTGGGTACCCCACAAGGCCCTGTCTTAGACCCTCTTCTCCCTCTAAACCTTTTCACTTGGGGATCTCATCAGCTCCCATTGACTCAGTTATTTCTGTGCTGATAATTCTCATTTCTGCTTATGCAGCCCTCAACTCTCTGCTGACCTCCAGGGGCACATCTCCAATTGCCTGTTGGACACTGGAACTGAATGTCCCATAGACGTGTTAAATTCAGCATATCCAAAACCAAACTTGTTATATTTCCCACCCTGAAACCTTCCCTACTTCCAAACCTCTATTACTGTCAAAGACACCACCATCTTCCCAGCCCCCTGGGTTGCCACCTAGGTTTCATTCTTGACTCCTCATTTTTCTATCCGGTCTGCTGCCATGGCCTGTTGATTTTACATTCATCTGGAGAGAAGGCCTACTATGTGGTAGGCACTGTGCTAAACTCTTTACAGTTATTCTCTCATTATTGTTCCTATTTTACAGATTAAGGAAACTGAGGCAAACAGGTTGAATGACTTGCCCAGGGTCACACAGCCAGTAAGTATCTGAGGCAGGTTTGAACTCAGGTCTTCCAGACTCCGGGCCCAGAGCTGTAGTCACTGTACCACCCAGTTGCCTATGTGTTTCCTATACATCCCTTTCTCTGACACTCCCACTCTTTTCTCCCCACCTCTCCCAAAGGCCCTCATCACCTCACGCCTGGACTCTTTCAGTAGCCTGCTGGTGGTCATCACAGTGATCTTCTTAAAGTGCAGGTCTGTCCATGTTCACTCTACACACACGCATACACCACTGATACACTCCAGGATCCAATATAGAATCCTCTATTTAGCATTCACAGCCCTTGATAACTAGGCTGTTCTCTACATTTACACCCCACTTCCTCTGTGATCCAGTAACACCGGTCTCCTTGCTGTTCCACACACGACCTCTCATCTCCTGACACTGTCTGATTCCTTGGCTGTCCCCTGCGCCTGAAATGGTCTCTCCTCATATCCACTTCCAACCCTTCTTCATTCTAGTGCCTTCCCTCTGTTGATTATTTACGGTTTTTTCTGTATATTACTTGTTTGTACTTTTACATAGTTGTTTATGTGATGTATATCCCCATTAGACTGAGCTTGAAAGCAAAGGCATTTACCATTGTACCCGCAGCCTGACCCATAGGAAGCACTTATAACGGTTTATTAGCTATTGACAAGCAAGCTGAACTCCTGGTTATTCCCCAGCCTGATCCAGGACTCTGCTGCCTCCATGTATTCATAGAGACTATCCCCTCATCATGGACTTGTCTCTCTCATCCTCCATCTGTTCCAGTACTCTACCTTGAAACTCCAGCTTGGGTTATACCTCCTCCTTGCAGCTTTCCCTGACACCCCCAACCCCCCAAAGCCCTCTCTCCCTCATCTTGTTAGATCA